CAAGGAAGAACTCATCTTGTTGTTGTTGCCAACGGATGGATGCCACACCATTGCCATTAGCTCCAGGAGGACGAGGTAACAGACCTGCACCGGCGGGAAGCGGAGGAACATCCGGAAAGATCGGCACCTGCACCGTCTCTTGGGCCCTTGGTGGCACCGGCGTCTGCTTGGGTGTTGCAGCCGTCCTCTTCAAGGCTGGTGCCATACTGGTGCTCGGCTCCAAGGATGATGCTCTCCTCGGTGGGGCGGACTTCGCCCTGTGCTCCTCTAGCAGCTGGTCCAGCTGCTCATCTGCCGTCTGCCTCCGAGCTTTCGAAGACGCTCGCCTGCGGTCCATGGCGGCCATCAACCTGAGAACCTCAGGGTGGACTTCCACCTAATTTGGGCTCATAACCGTTATAACCCATGTGAGTGCAACTCACTCGGACCTTTTATTTCTTGAGCCAAACGTTGCCAAGTTAATGGCTGGTTTCGAACAGTTCGAAGGGGCCTTCAAGAGTGCTTGGTACACTTCTTGTTTTGTGCGGACTGACTCGCAGAAGGAATTCATTACGACAGCCCTGCTTACTCACACCTGCTATGCTGACGGTGATGACTCAGGATCGTGCAGCCACACGTTGCACTGCGCATGAGGTTGGAAGCAAGCAGCGGTCCCCGCAGCGCATGTCCTGTCGTCAGAATCATCGGGGGACAGTGCCCAAACCACAGTTTGATGTGAGAAACACCTTGAAGTTGCGCAAAAAAAGTACCAATAAATGCATAGATACGTAGGACTGCCGTACGCCTCTGGCAAGTACTGACTGCGGAGCCTTGCATTGATGGTATTGGGTGACATGCGCCGCAACCGAGCATCGTCTGCAACATGGGATTTGCAAGAGAAACACAAAGAAGGAAATCATGCGTGGTCGGTTGCCAAGTGGGATCCAGAATTGTCACAAGATCCAAATCACTCACAAGCCCTCTGGTCTAATTCTGCACTAGTGCGCACATGTGGACATGAAAAAATGTGAATACACCCAGGATCCGGCATCCATGTACCCACTTGCTGCCTGCCGGTCCAAAAAAAGAACTTTGTTCAACCAAGCCGCATAGAAAAAGAGCACAAAGCACGCAGCAACCACGCCCACAGCTGTCATTTATTTTTCTAAAATCTGCAAATAGTTGGCCCACAAATTCTCAAACAAACAGCCAAACGAATTGCCAAAAGAGTGAAACATCGGTGACCGGATGTCCAAAAGGTTGCAGATGAACTGAGTAAAACCAGCAAAGCCATCCAGCCATCCTCCAACATGATTTCTCTGTGAAACATAGGAAGGGAAACCAAGCTACTTGTAGCTCCTGGCCATACTACTAGTAATCCGTTTTTCATGGGCCTTGGGCTCAAAGCGGCGCATTGGCTGGGCAAGTCCAAGTTCCGCTTCCAGCATGACGTAGGAGGTACATCATTCAGGAATCTGACGAGAAGGCATCAGCTGTCTCATGGTTGAAGTGCCCACTGATCAAACTTACTGAACTGACTGCTTTGCAAGAACGAGGTTTCAGGTTTCTCCTGGTTCATGTCTGCTTTGGAAAGTCTCGTGTGTTTCAAGCATCCAAACACATCATTGGTCGCCTGACAACTTGGCCAGGGCTCGCAGCGCAGGTTCCATAAGGATCAGCCGTTGGCAAAGATAAGGGGCTTACCACCTCCAGCTCACGATGTGCGGACCTAAATACCCGTTTAAAATCTTCTAAGGAAAAGCACATGAGGCTTCCAAGCAACTATCAAAAACTAACTTTGCCTTCCTCGCCTCCACAAAATTCGCGTTCTCCAGGGTTGACACCCCCTGCATCACCTGCACCTTGTCATTTAAATTCTTACGAGAAGCAGGATTTCGGTGCCAGCTGCTAGCCAGCCAGGCTTTCAACTACGAAAATTGGTCTTGACTTGAATGAAACATCTTGGCCCATGGCTCCTTGGTCAGGAGACAGTGCAAAGTGCACCTCCAAATTGACTATATAATCTGATTTCCTTGCATAGATCGTCCAACGTGTTCAGCCTTCAGAATATCTCCAGCATGGTAGCCACGCACGACCACGTCTTGAGACACCTCACAGAATGATGTGGAAAGTTGGTAGAGCCCCTAGACATCCTCAGATGCTGCCAAAGTCGCTGCTACCGAAGTTGCCAGGGGCGAATTCTCCTTGCAAGGCAGCCCCAGCCATAAATTTGAAGTAGGCGAGGGGCTGAGCAGAGCTAAAGTAGGCTTGGAAGATGTTGGTTTACCACATAAACTCACAAGGAGGGCTGGCGTCCTGAACAATCGCGTCCACTTGAGAAGAGGACAAAACTGCCTGCGCACTCTTCAAAACAAGAATGTGAAGCGCACTGCTACCACTAACTTTTCATCCAGTCTCGTCAGTATGCAAACCCTCGACCTGAAATCATTTCCTGTGTTTTCAGTATTGCTTCTGTGGGATAGCAGCCACAAGGCTTACCATATCGATGATCGTCTACAGCTATGTGCCTGGTTTTGAAATACTTCTCCTTGCACTGCACCTCAAAATGACCAAGGGCTATGCACAAGCACCTTAAGCACCTTCCGTTGACATGCTCATGCTGATGTGTCCAATCTTAAAGAAAAGGGACAAGCAGCTCGTGCAGCACAAATGGCCAGAGCAGACTCAAGGTCTAAAAGATTATAGATTCCTTGCCTACTGCTGCAACAAGAAGCACATGTTTGTGCATGTAGCAACATTAGCAACCCTTGTTTAGCCTTTCCACAAACCGAAAAGCAACCAATCAAGCTGAGAAGCTGTTGTCGACCGATACGCAAAGCAATCCACGCAAGTCATCTGCGATCACCCAGAGATCAACTCGCCTCGGTTGAGATCGTCGCCTTTTTGAATGCACATCAAGCAGTGTGCAAGCAAACACAGGCATGACGTACTTTCGCATCTGCTTGTGAACCATCTCAAAGCTAAGGAAATGGCGGATTCACCCTGTGCAGCCAGCTTTTGGAGTAGCAGTATTGTGTGGTTGCACTCTTGGGGCCTCTGGGACGGCATTGTTGCTTGACTTGTCAAGATCCTTTTTTTGTGGCACGCCAATGTGATGGTTCTCATCATTGCTCGTTCGGAGTGAGAAAGTCAAAAAGCAGAATCCAGCTGCAGTGGCACTGCAGTGGCCTTCTGGCAAACAGCTGAACGAATCTGTCAGACCCACGCAATCAGGGTCACAGCCTCAGTGTGAAGAGAAGAACAGAGGAATCCGTTGAACGCCACTGGCTAGGGCCTCATGGTATGATTTTTCATCAACGCCTTCCCCTCCAAAAACGCCACGCAATGCTTCGTTGAACGTCAAACCCCTTCCTTTGCTATGCCGTGCTCACGCAGAAGGTGGGCTTTAAGCTTTACTGAGCGACACCGTGAAGGTCGCAGGTGGGATTGAGTCTCCGGCAGCAGTTCACGTTACATTGCGCCTTAGGGAAGAAAGGGACCGTCCGAAGGGAACCTGGTCTTCCTTCGGATTTCGGATTTCAAGACCCCGAAAAAACCGTTCACCAACTGGCCCTGACCAAAAAAAAAAACGTATCCATCCTCTGTACATCTGAATTCGCGAGCTCGGATAACTGCAGAAGGCCTTAAGTGGTGTATCGTGAGCTGGTGTCAAATCCTTTCTACTTCAGTATAACAAAACTTACAAACAAAACATGATTGCTTTCGGATGCTACTAGTGCAAGTAATGTATTAATTCGTATTAAGCAGGTCATCCTCCCCCCCAAAAAAAAAGAATTGGAGACGTACCCGCCCCCCCTTTTTGTTACGAATGTCACATGAAAATTCGCCTCAACCGGGCCAACTCAACCCGCAGGTACACGTTCCCCTCTCGTCGGGCCTGCGTGAGGTCGCAGGTGCATTGGCCCAAGCTAAGCGGATCATCCAGGTTCACCTCAGCAAAGGGGTTGCGTAATGAATAGAAATGCAAAGAGGTTGCGCAATAGTTGACAGTTGTAATATGAAGAGCAAGTCTATCCAAGGTAGACCAATTGAGGAACTCTCCATCGCTCTCAAGTTTATATACTCAATATGCTCCGTGCAGTGGGAGCGCCAATGACAGAACCGTAGCACCTCGCCAATGACAGAACACTTCAACTTCAACGATTTGAGAATTTGTTGTGCGACAAGTGAGACAACTTCAAGGGCTCAACGTTATCAGCGCAAAAGTCCTGCAAATGAATCGTGGTGGAATGGCGGATGACTCAAGAGCTCACTGATCTTGCAAGGTCGAAGTACATTGAAGTACGTTGACTGGCTAAGATTATTGCGTCCCTGGTTCTGACTACTGGGGACCCTGAATCACACAGGACTAACAGCGCAGTCCTCATGAGGATCACGCCCATGGCACGCCAACGACCCCATGAGTTATTAAACTTCCTTCTTTATTTATGGTGCTCTCAAATAACTAGTGAACATCCAAAAAGTCCCTTAGGCATTTTAAGCCTGCTCACATTCACAAAGATTTAAGAGGCTGAACTCCCCCATGCGAGGTTTGTAAAGGATACGTCATGAATCCTAGACATATCATATACTCAAGAAGTTGGCTCTCGGCAGGGTTTGTCTGCCTGGTGGAAAAGCCCACAGCTCCTCCACCAACTTTTTCAGCCGATGCAATCAACATGAACTGCCTTGTCAACTGTCCGATATGCTCTGGATATGGTCATGGCACGGTTGTTCCTTGACAGATGTGAAGCTCCGATCCCAGTGAAAATGCAGGTCATGTCGCACAGGACTCTGGCAGAACTCTGGGCGTTGACACGGCGTCATGGGCAGAACAAGGATCGAGACAAAGTCTTCAGCGCTTGAGCACTTGTCTTCAGCACTTGTCACTGGATGTCACTGGTAGCTTTTGGCTGTGAAAATAAATTGCCAACTGCACACGGCACTCTACACCATTAACAATGGGCCTTAAAACACAGGGACCCTACCTTGGAGCCAAGACGTTCTCTTGGTTCCAAGGGCTACTTGGGGCTAGAAACTTTATCGTACATGAAGACCAAGTCCTTGAGTTCAGACCTTAGTAAAGCGACAGGTTGAAAGTTTATGAGAGGAGGATTGGAGGCCCGGGCGGCTGAAGCTTCAGAGAGAAGCGATAGAGTTCTTTCCAGCCTGATTTGGTTACAGTAATTTAGTTGGTATGACAGACTGGGCGTTCTCATGTTTTCTCTCGTGACGCGGCATACGTCTGAATAGGACCAATAGCAGGGCCTTCAGAGCCTTCGTTTGAAGCACCAGTGCAAAGCGCACGCAGCGCACTGCCTGAGTTGAAAGTCCAAAGAATTGAAAGTTCAAACAGTTTATTCCAAACGGAGCCTAGAGAGCCTCGGCCCTTGGCTTTGCGGGCTGCTTTGCTTAATCAAGACAGATTTAGCAATTTTTAAAAAATTGCCAATTGTAGATGCTGATCCTGAGAACATGGCGAATGCGATCCAACAGCAGAAGTCTGGTTTCTCGCCAAGCAGCCTGTTCACGGTGTCAAGACACGAAGAAGGCCCAAACAACACCGCTGTCCTTCTTTTGCTATCCTCTGGAAATTAAGATCTGACATGTTTTCACTGGAAGGTAAATATATGTATGTACAAAAATACATGCTGTAGTTGTAGCAACGAGTGCTCGTAAACCAGCTTGTAAAGTTAAAGTGCAGGTCGCCAGAATATCAGAAGAACATGCCCTGGTGTATGTATCGTATCCTTGCCTGGAGCTGCAGCGGCACACCACATCCTCTCCAGCTTGTGATGTTCAACGGCTTGGAGATGGTGAAAGATTTGGCTGTTCATGACAGAACCAAGGAGTGTCTGTCCAACACAACCTTGACCACAAGAATGGAAGGACCTGCAAAAGGAACTTTGCCTTCTGCCGCTGCCACTGAAACCTGAGATCCAGATTCAGGACTTCGGTGCTTGGACAAATAGATTTAAGTTGCAGACCGAGGCCTTACAAGGTCCTACATCATACCTGAGCATGGTACAGGAATCCGGGCGGCGGCTAGGAGCTCCTCCAAGCCTCAAGAGATCTCAACTTCGTCTTGACAAGACCAGCTCAGCCTTTCCAGGCCAGAAGTATGCCAAAACGAAGAAATGAAAGGGAGGGAGGGAGGGAGGGAAGAAAGGAAGGAAGGAAGGAAAGAAAGAAAAAAAAAAATATTTCACTTCGAGTGATCCCCACCATGACATTTCAAAACAGCCACGTTCAGCCCAATCTGCTCAGTGTCGAAGGCGATCCAAATGTCAGAAAAAACAGGTCGTCCATGCATCTTGTTCGTCCTTCGTTCATTCGTTCGTTCGCTCATTCATTCACTCACTAGTTCATAGTAGTCATAGTAGTAGTAGTAGTAGTAGTAGTCGTAGTAGTAGTAGTAGTAGTAGTAGGTAGTAGTAGGTAGTAGTAGGTAGTAGTAGGTAGTAG